CTGTATAATTAAAATTGTAAACCGCCCGGAGAGTGCTTGTAGTGCTATGGGGCGGTATATAAGTCCAAAAAAAAAAAAAATCAACTTATTTATTTCAAAATGCTAATACTGCAATTAAAACACAGATGCTGAGGTTTTATTTTAGGAAAAAAACTACTCCTGCACTGCAAGGGTTTTTCCCCTCCTATGGGCGGTATTAACAAATAAATACTTACTGGTCCTCCAATCCCCCATTGGGCTAGACCGGTGATGGTTGCCATTGCACTCCTCCGCTGGACCACTGCAGCAGCAGATGGAAGTGCCAAAATCCGGGATCGGAGGACAAGTAAGTATTGCTCTATGGTGACTTATGGCTCGTGTGCCCACAGAGAGGGCTCTGTGTGCCAGCTGTGGCACGCGTGCCATAGGTTCGCCATCGCTGTCTTAAGCCAAGTATTGTTCCACCATCCAGACTGTTAATATACACAGATTGTTCAAGCAGATTGTGCTTGCAGTAATGTTAATACAGACCACCTTCACAGAAGGTTATACTCTGTAGAATAGTTTGCCCCATCTAGACATATGTGATCCCTGTATACTAGTAGTGACTGCCAGAAAGCTAAATATGAGCCACTCCAGGCTTATGGAGAGTCTCAGCTGCGCAAGGACTGAAGTTTGAATTGCATGCAATAGACCCTTCTTCAAATGGAGTAATCTTCTAGGATAGCAACCAATCTCACTACAAAGACCACAGGATCGTGCAGAGGAATCAACTAAAAAAAATGCCTTGTTAGACAGCTCTGCCCTCCTAATTTCATATTATCTAATCTGTTATAAACTTGGTCTGCTGGGAAGAACAGACTGGTGTTCTTCTCTTAACCACAGAGGGAATCTACTCAATCAGACATGAGGCCACAGTATCTGTTCCTTCACTATGGGGTAGAAAATCTAGTTTTAAACCTGATCCTTACTAAGATACTTCCTTTTATTTACACGACTATTTTTTAGAAGAATGCAAGTCATCTGTTTTTTTCCTGAAGTGTATTTGTAAGCAATTTCCTTCCACTGTAAATCCATGAAGAAGAATTGTTAGTCACGAATAAATCCACTAAAACATGGAAACCAAGTTAACATTAATTCTGTCTGCCTTACAATTGGATTTATGCGCATACATTCTAATTGGATAATTTCCGGTATTTATTTTGTGGCATGCGTGTGATGAGGATGAAAAAATTATGTCACTATTGCTCTTGCACAGCTCCATCATGTCTCTCCTTCCAGATTCTATCTGCCATAGTTCTGGTCACAGAGGGAAAACAAAAGCAACAAGTCACCTCACCACCAGGCACGTCCCTCCAACAGGTAAGGACTGAACTTATCTCCCCATCCCACCCCCCTCTCCTTCCTTTACTGAATGTATTCCTTTTGTCCTTCATGTAGCATTTCTGGATTTGATACCAACAACCAATAAAAAAGCTATAGCTAACTATTTCCTTCAATTACCTGAAGCATAGTACATGTAAGCTCTTATGACTGGATTGTCCAATATCCCTTCTGCATGTAATCATGACTTAGAAACCATTCTTGCAGTCCTGCTGAACTGATACTTTGACAAAAAGAAAGCAATATTGGTACTGAAAACACTTGTTGCCTTTTATTTCAAGCAGAGGTTTAAGCATTTAGTAACTGCTGAAGGCCAGGAGTGTAGTCATCATTAGAAGGCAGATATACATCTGAGAAGGGTGTAGAAAACTGGCAAAAATTTGGTGTAAAATTTATATTCCTAAACACTATTGCTTCCTGTTTCTCATTTACTAACAGGAGAGGACAAGAAGAATACCACAGATCAAAAGCCACATTTATACCAAGCATTTATTCCTACTGAATATGAAACTTTTGTATATTTTCTAGGGAAAATATTAGCCAAAACAATGTCATGACATCTCCAATCCTTCCAATCATATTTCTGTATGAAAACAGATAAAACAGTAATACTTTCGAATTTATGATTTATATATTATAAAACCATCCCATGTTTGAACTGTTTTGGAACAACACCGAGTAGAATGTAGTCTTTGTTATTCTTTTTGCAAAATACTCCCCCATTTGTTACCAATATGCCAAGTCAAGCTATTTAACATGTTTCTTTTTTCCCCTTTGATTTTAAAGAAATTCAATTTTCCTTTCAAGATTTTGCTATCTATTATTTCTCCAGTGTTTGCTCCAGTCAAATGTATTCATTCACTATCTAGAGAACTCCAGTTAATGGGTGGATTTAGAAATGAAACAAATAAGTAAATAATCTGGAACCCCTCTGTGGTACAAGGTCAGAAGACCAGCAGTCGTAAGATCGAATCCACACGACGGAGTGAGCTCCCATTGCTTGTTTCAGCTCCTGCTAACCTACCAGTTCGAAAGCATGTAAAAATGTGAGTAGATAAATAGGTACCATCATGGTGGGAAGGTAACAGCATTCTGTGTCTAGTTGCGCTGGCCATGCAACCACGGAAATTGTTTATGGACAAACGCTGGCTCTACAGCTTGGAGATGGGGATGAGCCCCGCCCCCTAGAGTCGGACACGACTGGACTAAATGTCAGGGGGAACCTTTACCTTTACTTTTTACAGCTGGCAGGAGACTGGCCCCTTCTGCTGCCTCTAACAGCAAAGTCAAAACAGCAGCTATAGTCTTGTTATCTTCCAGAGCCAGCTCTGCCTATCTTGTGTGGAGAAAAACATGACTGACAGTATCACTCCCTCTTTTATTTATTTCATGACAGCTCTGTGCAACTTTCTGGGACGCTGTCCCCATGCAGACTATTGGGAGGCAAGAAGAATCCAGTGCTCTGTAGGGCCAAGCCAATCAGGGCTGCCTGGATCCCCTCACTTCCTTGGGAATCAGAGTGTCCCAGTCTATAAACACCTCAAATCTGCTATTATTGTGTTTCCCCCCAAAAATAAGACAGGGTCTTATATTAATTCTTGCTCCAAAAGACACCTTAGGTCTTATTTTCAGGGAATGTTTTATTTTTTCATGCAGAACAATCTACATTTATTCAAATATAGTCATGTCATCTTCTTCTGGTTGCTGCCCAATGGTTAAGGGTGGGGTTTCATTTAACTGGGGTTTATTTTGGGGGGAGGGCTTATATTACGAGCATCCTGAAAAATCATATTAGGGCTTATTTTCAGGTTAGGTCTTATTTTTGAGAAAACAGGGTAGAGTTGATCATTTGTTTGATAGGAGTGAAGTCTCTGTGTAAAGCACACTGCTGTACAAAAAAAGCACACCTTGCACTGAGGCCATCATACCTCTAGGATTTTAAAGAGAAAAAAAGTGCACCATATTTCAAGAAAAGGTACCCTACTCTATGGACTTCATCCATAATGTGAACAGACCTCTGTGAGGACAGCAGAATAACCCCATTTCCTCTCCTCCCCATATGTTTCCACAAACTAGAGAACACACTTGGGAAATATTTAGGGAACACACACACACAGTGACCATCTGCAGAGAAAGTATGAAAAGCTGCTAAATATACTATGCAGCATTAATCTGTACTTAAATCAATAAGACTTACTTTCAGATAATACAGTGAGAATCAGGAAATAGCTGATGAAATTCAAAACATGTGAAAATTACTTAAAACTTTAACTGCCCAGTATAAAACATAAGAGATAACTTGTGTATGAAATGATGAAATAGTTTAATCTTTTTATAAAGAATTCCTGAAAGTCAGAACTGCTTGTCTGATTAAATCAAAATTTATTGTAACAAGAAGTCACTACAACTTTAGAAAATATCCCTGTTTATTGATTAATAAGAAACACAGATGGGCATATATTCCCAATTATCCCCATGCTCTCCTTTCATATTTTATATTAGAAAACAGGAGATATACAGCAGTCTTGTAAAGTCTTGAGGTTAATGGCAGCAGTGGAGAAAATATGGCTGAAGCAAAATACAGCCAGCCCAACTGCTCTTATCATATGAAGGATCTCGCTTCCTGTTTGGCTTACAGCAGCAAGGATTTCTGTTCAGGTCGCCCTCACAAAGCAAGGAGACTTTGTTTTTTTCCAATCAGAAGCCGATCCTCCTGGCAAACAAGCTGACATTTCAATCTGTAGGTTGGGGGATAACACTAATGTGAAGAAAATTATCAGGATAACTCATATGTTCACTTAGCCACTGTACTGGTGCCTCCAACACTGGTTCTATTCCATGAATCACCACTTGAATCTTCTTTTCACCATCTAGTTCCAAGAGAGAAAAAGCCGGGTCACTAATGAAAAATCTATAGGCTAAAACATGTTTGAAACAAGGGTCATGCTGTTTCATTACATAATGAAATTCTGCAGAATCCTTACCATGTGAACTCATTATCATCTTCCTGTTGCGTATTTTAACTGAATGAACAGTGAGAAACCCTGTCATGGAGAAAGTTAAAACTAGAAAGCTTTCAATTTAAATGAACTAAAAAAATTCTTTAAAACATGTATTAAATGCATCATCACAAACCCATTTAAGAACTGTTGGCTGAGTGTTTTTTTAATCAGTATTTTTAATACATTGTAAATGCATTTACTTTTTTGTCACTATGTAACTTGCAATTAAATTGGGGGTGGAACTTGTATGCTGCCCCATAGTGCATAGCAATTTTGGGTGGTTTACAATAATTGCCTTAAGCAGAGCTTCAGAAGTTATAATTTAGATATAACTGCCTGGATGCATTCACAGAAGTGTAGTGGGATACAGTGGTACCTCGACTTACGAACTTAATCCGTATTGGAATGGCGTTCTTATGTCAGAAAGTTTGTAATTCGAGGCAAACTTTTCCACTGGAATGCATTGAAAACCATTTAATCTGTTCCGGCTGTTTTTCATTCGTATGTCGAGGTGCTGTTTGTAGGTAGAGGCATTCGTTCCCATAGGAACTAATGCAAAGCCGGTTAATCTGTACTCTACCACTAGGGGGAGAATTTTTTTTGTTTTTTTGTTCTTTTGACCCAAGATGAACTTAGGTCAAAAAAAGGGCAAGAAAGGTGTTTTTTTGTTTGTTTGTTTGTAAATCGAGGCTCCGTTTGCAAGTTGATGCAATATTTTGCGAACGGAGCCATTTGTAACTTGGACGGCTGCAAGTGGAGACGTTTGTAAGTCGAGGTACCACTGTATATGAAAGCACTAAAAATTTCTGTACGTCTTAGTTATAACTCCCTTTCCACCTTTCAGATTCTGTAGAGGCGTGTCCAAAAGTACCAAAATGTCCAGGAAACACTGTGGAAGCTTCGTTTTTTATACATTAACAACAAAAAGTAGGACAGAGACTACTTAAATACAGAAAATCCAAAGTGCACATCCCTAATATCTCCTGTTTCATCGACTTCCTCAGGATACATCTGCATTCATCTAACAAGTAACAACCAAACTAGTTCAACATATCCTTAGTACTTCTTTATATGATATAGAAATACATTATATAGAGAGATTCTAATCCTCAGCATGTAATGCCACCATATTCTATACACTAACTATTACTGTTGTTATGTGTCCTCCAAATGAGCTCTCTTGAAAATGTCCTGTTCTTAACAGCCCTGCTCAGCTCTTACGAACTCAAACCCGAGGTGTCTTTAGGGCCTCAATCCATCTCGTATTTGACTCTCCTCTTTTCTTGCTGTCTGCAACTTTTCCCAGCCTTATTTTCTTTTCCAGAGAATCCTGCCTTCTTATGCTGTAGGACAGTACGACAGACTCAGTTTCAACATTTCTGTTTCTAAAGATAGTTCAGGCTTGATTTGCTCCAGGACCCACCTGTTCGTTTTTCTGGCAAGTCTAGGCTATATGCACAGCTCTCCTCCAGCACCACATTTCAAATGACTTGATTTTTGCCCCTGTCAACTTTCCTTTCGCTCCAGCTTTCACACCCTTACACGGTGATCAGAAATACAAGAGCCAGGATGATTTATTTGTTTCTTTGTTTGTTTGTTACATTTTCATACTGCCCATCTGGACAAAGACCAGATCTTATAAGTGCCATGGTTCCAGTAAGTAAACTTTCTTATACAGCTATATTTCTGAGTGGTCCAAGTACATATTATGATCCTAAGGATAATCCTATTAAGACTGACAAGTATTTTTATCTCTCTTTCACAGAGAACTGGTTGTAACTGCTAACAGTTGATATTCAAACTGGGAACTTACATTTCAGCCTTAATCTTAGTAAGCGCCACATTAGCTCTATGTGATTCAAGAACCCAAGCAAAATGTTACAATATAAGTAAAGATACCGTATTTTTTCGCACCATAAGACACACTTTTTCCCCACAAAACAGGGGGGTGGAAAGTCTGTGCGTCTTATGGAGCGAAGAAAACAGATTATATTTTCCTGTTTTCTTCTCCTAAAAAATTGGTGTGTCTTATGGAAAGGTGCGTCTTATGGAGCGAAAAATACAGTATGTTTGTTCATTTAAGTAAGATATCTGTAGTTTCTGGGAAATGGTTTCAGCTTTATACCCTTGGCTTCCTCTATTCTGGGTGTTATTGCTATTTGTAATGTTTTCAGTGAGCAGGAAAATGAAGAAGAGAACCCTGAAAAACTTAGGGAAATGCAGGCAGTCCTGAAGGAACACTTGCTATTTCTTTGTGGATCAGTAAAAATCAAGCTAATTGAATCCAAGCCCTGAAAGAACCACAGCCTTGGTGTCTATCCAACATACATCATGCTGAAGGATGTCTGTCTCAGCCACAGTGGTAATAGTCAGTAGGGTCAGGTCAAAGAGGGTTAAACTAAGTCAGGATATAGCAAGCCAAAAAAGAATACATCAAACACTGACTTTAAAGGGCCATTAATCTTAGGCAGAAAATGCTTCCTGGGGATTGAGATCTCAATCTTAAGAGAAACTGACATGATGTAGTGGTAAAAAGTCCATATACAAGATTAGACAGCTTTTACCTCATGATCACAAACAGAAAGAGAGTGGTGTTTATAAGAAGACTACAAACTCTAATACTTCTTGGCTTGCAAACTATGTGGAATAAATGAAACAAGTAATAACATGTAAAATTCATTTTTGCCATTTACTGGAGTTGCATTTTTGAACATCAGTTGCTTAAATACCTAATAAAATTGATAGCATTCATAAATATGAGTACAATACAATTAAGAAAAAAGGAATAGTATAATTACCATTGAGTATGTTTCAGATTGAAAGCATTCTCACTTGAGTATCGAAACAATAGGAAAAGGCCTTATAAAGTTGACTTCCTAGAATGTCAGCTGATAGCAAGGCTGTTTGTTTTATCAACAAGCCAAAAGCTCCCAGTTCTGCTTGCCAGAGAAAGAGTTCTCCTGCCTTATGGTGAGATACATGCAACCAAGCCTCAAACTTATTACAATCTTGGTGCTATAAAGGAGAAAGTTTGTTCAAGCAATTGTGCCATACTGTGGAGGTACTCAGAGTACCCAGAAACACAGCACAAGTGCACTGAAAATGTCCTTTTTTGTCTTCTTTTTCTGGTGCTGTGCTTCCAAGGTGATCTCACTACCTCCAACTGCGTTGCATAACTGAGTCTGTGGCCTCTCCAGATCCAAGACAGCAAGGACGAACGCTTACAGTAACACTTGTAATTTCTGTTGCCAATTCCAGACTTCGGGAGAGAAGCAGAAGCAGATTATTGTGGCTATCTGCTAAAAGAGGTCAATTCCTGCTATCAGCTCATCCTGACTTCATCACATGATGCTTTTGGCACATTATTCTAAGGCTCTGACTGTCTGCTGTGACATGCCAAGAGCCAGCCCAGGTAGAATCCCACATATGCCAGTGGGCACAAAATCACTTGCTTGCTACAAGTCAAGTGTGATTTGAAGTCAAAGCATTGTTCTTCCTGTGACTCCCATATGTTGAAGTGAAAGGACTAATGGTCAGCTTTTAAAGTATTTGGTTTTCAACTACAGCTAATTAGTTATGAAGTGCAATAGTCAACACAAAAGTCTGGTGTGTAAGACATGCCTACCCCTGCCTTGTTTCCTAGTTCTAATGTAGTCCCTTCTGAATACAAAAGCTACAATAATTTATTAGTAGCACCACCAAATGATACTGTTCCTGGGTCATCCCAGTTCATGGCAGGATCCAACACCAGAGTAAGGAGGGATTCACCTCTCACCAGGTAATATAAATTTATCTTTACAGTGGTGCCTCACAAGACAAAATTAATCCATTCCAGGGTTAATGTTGTCTTGCGAGCTGTGGTTTCCCATAGGAATGCATTGAAATTTAATTAATGCATTCCTATGGGATTTTTTTTAAAAAAAAAAAATAAGTCACTTACCAGTTAGGGAGCTGGGGAAGCACCATCAGAGGACTGGTGCCCCCCCTCACCTGGATCGCCACCTTAGGAGGTCGCCTGGGGCTTCCCTTGCACCATCAGAAGACTGATGGTGGTTCTCCGAGCGGCGAGTGGCACTTGCAGAGGCCTGTCCAGCACAATTTTTGAAGATCGTGCCCTTTCCCCCGCCTTCAGCAAGCCTCCAAATGGAAAAAAAGGGGGGGGGAAGAAAGCATTTTTCCATTTGGAGCCTTATCAAAGGCAGGGGGAAAGTGTGCGATCTTCAAAAATGGTGCTGCACAAGCCTCTGCAAGCGCCACTCTCTGCTCGGAGGGACCCCCCGCCACTCTTCCGATGGTGCAAGAGAAGCCCCGGGGTCCTTCCGAGCGGCACTTGCAGAGGATTGTCCAGAACCATTTTTAAGGATTGTGGCCTTTCCCCCTGCCTTCAGTAAGGCTCCGAATGGAAAAAGGCTTTCTGTTTTTCCCTTTTTCTGTTTGGAGCCTTACCGAAGGCAGGGGGAAAGGGCGCAATCTTCAAAAATGGTGCTGGACAAGCCTCTGCAAGTGCATTCATCGTGCGAAAAATGGCCATAGAAAGAATAATCTTGCAAGGCACCAAAAACCTCGCCGGACGCATTCGTCTAGTGCATTTTTCATCCGGTGAGGCAATCGTCTTGCGAGGCACCACTGTATTCCTTTTTTCCAGTGCACTAACTACATTCAATTTCCAACTTTTCTTATAAAGGTTTGCCATGTTTCTTAGTACTCCCGTTCCCAGCCAACACAATAGCCATATGGTTCAGCTAAAAACAATGGATAGTTCACTAAGTGACTTGCAGCCCTTTGTCTATAGCGGTGGAAAAATATAACATTCCCTGGCTTTAACATCTACCCAAAAGGACTTCTGAACTCTTCTGTTCTCTCTCCCAACTTAGGTTCTGTGATAGCTGGCCTATCAAAGAATCCCTAAGGAGCTCGCCTTTTAAATATTGGTCCAATAAAAATATGACCCTACTTGAATCCGATTCTATTTCATATTATTAAATAGCAAATGGCCAAAAGTATCTTCCTGAGACACAACAAGCAAGAAAGCACATGTTTTAACATGCCATTTCATCTACTACCTTCTGGATTAAGTGCAGCAGGGCAAGCATCTTTTAGGAGATCCCCCAATGTATGCAGCTGTCCATCTGCAGCAACAGGACGAAACAACTTCTGTATAAAAGGTCGTTCAGTTGTTGCCTGACAGTAAGAGATAACATTAATTTTTTTAAACCACAGTTAGAATTAACATCTATACATAATTATCACACATGTGCATGATGAATAAGGTAAGACAACACTCACTGTATTGTTCTAAAAACAAATTTACAAAACCACACCTCTTGGTGGTGTGTGTCCTTATGCTATATATATATATTAGCTATAGATATGCTAAACTTTAGTATTTTATTTTCCAGATTGAAAGGTAGCATGAATGGGGATTTTAAAGTAGAGATATGTTGAATAGAGTAGTAGGAAAAGGAGAAGCTTCAGGATTAAGGAATAACCCACCTTTAAATATATTCTAATCTACAAAAAGACTAACCCTGTATATAAAATGACAAATATTGGCCACAATCCTATTGTCAATTTACACTTGGGTTAAAGAAAATTGCTGACGTCTTGGTGGTAAATTGCTACATATTAACAAGTGCTAGTTGTATACTTGGGCATATGCCTAACCACACACCATCATGTGCTTGCTCAGAAATGCAGTCAGGATTTCAGAAATAACCAGCAATTTGTCACCAAGACTTACACTATTTGCGAAGTAGGATTCTGGCTGATATATATGAAAAAAAGAGGTTTCGAACTTCCTAACAAAAGAACCTTGACCTGCTTGGAAAGCTTATGTCAGAGCTAGAGCTGAATCTTGGGACAAACACAGCACAGTACAATAGTGTTATCCAAACATAGCACAACTAATACATTTTACACAAGTATTCCAAACAAATATGACTGAGACTCATATATAAAGACATTGGTTTAAATACACTGCCTAAAACCCAGTTAGTTGAACAGTTTATACAGGATGTAATCATAACATGAAAACACATAACCCACAAATTACAATTCTTGAGAATGAAAGCCAACAGACTTACTAGTCCTTACATCTACATAAAAGAAAGGGTTCCTAATTGTATTTAAACCACTGCAAATTACCTTACATGTTCAACCCACACACTAACCATCTTATGATTTCCACATGTCAATATTTTAGCAGTCAAAAAGCTATAGCTATTCTTGCGTTACTTCCTTTGGTTATCAGCACAGCAAGAAATTAGACCTAGGTTTGATCAATCTGTTTCTGAATAATTAAAAGGTCTGACAGCAACATATTTTCCCTCTGCTTTTAACTGAAGACTGGTTTCATCCTGACTTAAAACCTTGAGCGTAAGCAACTGCTGACTTCTGAATACTCATTTTAACTTCAATCTTTTAATTAATAAATTTCAGCCATTCTTCCAGAAAGTATACTTGCATTCTTTGATTCAAACATGATACCTGTTCATGCTAAATGAATTCTTGCAATCATTACCTGTTTGACATTTTTTGTGTAAATTGCTGGTGTTTTAAATTACACACAATATATAACGCTCATTAATTCATTCATTAGTTCATTCAAACCACTTATGTGTATGTGTCCTGTGACCGTAATAGGGCTTTCAAGATAAGTGAAATATTAAGGAATGGTTTTAACAGTTCTAATCCTCCAGTTAGTTTCCATGACCAAGTAGAGATTCTAATTCTCGTCTGTCCCTCTACCCATTATACCACACTGGGAATCCAAAACATTTATAGATTGTCCTATATCACAGGATCTCCAGGTGTATTACAGAGCTATATAAAATGATTTTTAAACGTAAGGTATTTAAAACCAAACAGTTTAAAACATAAAATTTAAACATTCAAATAATTGCATTAAAACCTTCACAGGCCATGATCCTCAAGAAGGCTGTAATAAATGTTTTCAGTTGGCACCAAAATGATGCCCATGTCAGTGCGAAACGAGCTTCCAAGTTGAGGGCATTACATAGTGGGGCTGATAGGGTAGAAAAAAACTCTTCCCTAAGTCTCAACATAATGAATTGTTCTCAATTCTGGGACACAGAGGAGGGCCTGCCCAGCAGATCTTAGTGATTGGGTAGGTTTATATAGGGAGAGGCACTCCTTCAAATATCCACAGTGTAACCAGACAATCAGTTCCCCTGTTCTCCAACATTTCTTCTCTCATCAATAATACATGTTCACTACCAAAATACTTCTAGATATGCAAATAGCTCAGGGGTTTAGATATCTGGCTGCAGAGCCAGAGGTAGGGAGTTCAATTCCCCATTGTGTCTCCCAGAAGAGCCAGCCTGTGTGGCCTTGGGCAAGCTGCAGAGTCCCAGGATGCCTGCAGAAGAAGGAACTAGTAAACCACTTCTAAGCATTCTATACCTGGAAAACCCTGAAAAGAGTCACCATAACTCAGAATTGACTGGACAACACATGATTGTTATTATTTTTTTAAAAAAAAAACACGAATCTGCTAAGACTACTCCAAAATGTACTGCTGTATATTTGGGTACCCTGCTCCTGCTCAGCAACAATCCAGACAAATAAGTACTGTATACTAAATAAAGGCAGAGGAAATTCACCTACACATACAGTAAATTCATATCAAATGTTCTGAAATTATTATGAAGATAAATTACTTGTGCACACACACTCCACTCATTCTCTAACATCTCTTCAACTGTCATCATATTGCATGTTCATTGTCCAGCTGAGGTAATTAGGACATCAATGGAAACAACGTAAAGTCACCATGAAAAGCAGCCATCAATGACCTTATCCTCCATAATTTGTTCCCTCTTAAAGCTGTCAACAAAAGGGAATATCACTCCATCTTTCAGGTGAACTACATGCTTGCAGAGGTTTATTATACAAAATACATAAATTTTCAGCTGTACCTGAACCATTAAAACCAACAACTGAAAATAACCTTACCATACCTACTTCCAAAGACAAAACTTAACACATCCATTTCAATCTCTCTCTCTCTCTCTTAGACACACACACACACACACCTGTTTGGAGAAATCAAATGATTATATAGTTCTTGAGGAATCTGAAACAAATATACATATAGCTCACCCATAGCGGAAACCTTTAGTTGTCATGGTCTGTTATTTAGTAAAATGTTATCATTATGTCTATAACAGTATCAAAGTAACATCAGTAATACTTAACCTAAATAATTTGAATGTCTCAGAGACTGTGGTTGAATTAAGGGCAGCCATTAGAATTACACACACATCTGGAATGAAGTTAGACTTACTTATTTTTATATAGTAAGGATTATTACAATTTTGTCTAGACAATAACGCTGCAAAGATTTTGGTCACAAATAGTTTGAGGACAATTGGCTAATCATATGTGGGCAACAGCCCATGTCTTCCTTACATCCTTTCATTTGGCAGGATGTGTTGTAAGGAGTTAATGTAACTCTGAACTTCCTATTTGATTAAGAGCAGCATTATTTCATGAACCAAGGATAAACTGTGGCAACTGTTTAAACTGAGTCTCCCACATGCACTACTTAGGAATCTCTTACTCTCTTCTTTTAAGATGCCACCCAGAAAACTAATTTTATCTGCAGTTCATCCAAGTCACCTGAATTCTACCCCACTGCTTTTCATACAAATTCAAATAGTAACACAGTTTAAAGAAAATTACAACAGATTCAGCACAGCATGGCAATGATTATGCATCTAGCTGAAATGCAGGCACACTTCTCAACCTTCTGCTTTTTTGAAAGGAAAGCTATCCAAGCAAGTTGCACTTACAGATAGCGGAGCCTATTTGCTCCTCTTTTACCATTATTTATACACAATAAATGAGTCATTAACAATGCAAACTTAGCACCAAGGTCCTAAAGTATTGAGACCGGATATAACAACGAGTCAAAATCATGGGATAGCTATAGATGACACACTGTAGTTTAACTGACAGTTGCAAGAAAGTACAGTTTGGATCCTAACCCAAATTAACCTAAAGGAAATCCATGGAATAAATACTTCCAGCACCTTGCAATTGTCACATTCTCTTAAAAGCTCTCCACTCTTCCTGAACAGTGTGGGATAGGGAAGCAGAGATGAAAAACATTAACAATGTGAAGTAGGATGTATCAGTAACATCCAGAAATCTGTGTGCATACCATCTGCATACCTATCAGAGATGTTTCTAAAGAGCTTCTCATTCAACAGTGCAAAATAAACATCACATCCAACTATGATTTAGTTTCCAAAACTACAAAAAGCAAAATCATATTTTAGGAAGCAGATTGGCTTAGATGGCACATACTTGCTTCATATGCCATTTTTGCTTTCATTCCATTCTTTTAACAGTTGACTGCCTCACATCTACTCCCTTTTCTATAGTGTAGCAGCTTCAGGTGGCAGAACAATGGCAATATTCACAGTTTATCAAATCAAAAATCAAGCCAAACAAAAATTGTACTTCCTTTATTACAGTTTGATGCTGTCTGAAATGTCCATAAAATGCTCTAGGTGTACTTTTTTCAGTATAATAAGATTAAAACTATTATAGTCAAATTTTGTACCAACAACCTTTGCATAAGTCCTGTAACATATGAACATGAGTAAATGGGACCAGGTATTGAGGGAGAAACTCCGGAGAACTCTAACACGCATGATTAATGCTTTTTAGAAATTCAACTACAACTAGTATTATTCCATTTAGCCACTATTTTACAAACAATCCATGTTCAATTTTTTGTTGAACTGTGTATCATGGAACTTCCAAGAATGATTTTGTAAGAAGGCAAGCATAAGAAGAGGAAATAAATAGTCTGAGGCAGGATATTCTACCAAATGGTAAGCCATTTGTAAGGATAGCTAGTTCTAGACTGTTGATATAAAGCTAGTTTGAATGACAACTGCACAGTGTGCTTTATTAAAAGTAAAGGTAAATGATTTAATACGAAGAAAATGCAAGACAAATTAATTCAGGCTGAGCATCAACTCTTAGGTTTTCTTTGTCTTAGGCTTCCTTTGTTATAAACTCCAGTTCTAGTACTAAAAACTGATTCTCCATCAAGAATACCACCAAGCAAGCTTATACTGAGAACAGCAATATTAAACCTCAAATTTATTAAAATAAACTAAATTGATAAATGATGGCAAATGGTATAATTTAAATTGACAAGCTATTACAGACATAGAACATTTCGTATTTATAAACTTACACAGTTCTATAAAAACATATAAATTTACAGTAAGAGGTGTTTCACAATGGAATGAACTATCTCAGAAAACAGTGACCTCGCTCTCATTTTTAAACACAGGTTGGATGGTCATCTATCAGGGATACTTAAGTGTGAGTTTCCTGCTTTGGCAAGGAGTTGAACTCAATGACCTTTGAATCCCCCCCAGCTCTAACATTCTGTGAAGCAGGAGTAAACAAGGGTGGCACAACCAAAGAGCTGATACAGGGGCCAAGCAGCCACTTTATATCTGCCACTCTACACAAAAGGAATAGTGTACAATCTTTCAACACTGAAAATTTATGTGGGGATACATATTGATTAGCACCCATTCATGACTCCTAAACCTCTCAGAGGGGAGAACAGAGCTATCCCCTCACCCTATAAATGGAAACATATATGACACGACCTTTAATAAAATCACAAGCTGTTTACATTTATTGATGCCTGACTTGTTCCTTCCTTCCTTTGGTTTGTATACAGCCCCATTAGTGAATATCCACTACTCTGGATAGTTTACAGAATAAAACATGAAACCCCCTCAACACAGCCCCACCAGCTCCCTCCCAATATGTTCTCTCTTCCATGGCAAAATATTGCAAGGTATACAGCAACAAAATAATTTGGCCATATTTTCTTGATTTTCAAGCTGTTACACAGGGCAGAATTATACATACTGAACAACATTTTTCTGAAAACAAGCTTTCATATGAACACCTACCTGATATATTCTAAAGGGAATGTAACGAAATCCACTTTCCTCTGGAGGGTACTCCATGAGTTTCCGGTTTATAGCCCAAAACTGATCAAATTTGTCTTAAAACAAGAGGAAATTATTTGAAAATGTATTAATTACTACCATTAAAACATAAAATACAAATCTTTCAATTGTTCATTCATTTAATTAATTAATTTTTCAAATTTATAATTTGCTCATCAGTCTACAAGGCAGCTCAGAACAGTACGCAAATACAAATTAAGAGGTATAAAAATCCTCTCCTACTGGCAAACAAAAACATAAAAATGAATTTACACCTTAAAATGTAAATATACATGTAAACTGTAAAACACCTAGGCAAAGAGGATTGTTTTAATCTGACTCTGAGAAGAAAATGTTAGTGCCAGTCATATCTTCTTATGAAGGGCTGTTCTGGATTTGAGTACCACATTGGAGAATACCCTTTCCTTTATAAATCCACTTGTTTCACATCATATCATATACATATTACATACAGAAAGAAGATCATATTGAGTGTATTCCAGTACTCTAGAATGAGGCCCTATGCTCTCTGGCATGATTAGATCTTTTAAATGGCATATGTTACAAAGGTGTGCCTTATATCCAGTTCTTATAACCTAAAATTCATAACTGCATAATCTTCTCTTTTGCAAACTGGCTCTGGAGAGTTTCCTAGACATCAGGATGCAAAGGCAGTTGGAATGGGGAGGAGATCATCCAATTTTATTGATGGATGCAAGTTCACTGGGAGAGGTAGTTTGCTTGCTATACCAGAAATGAGGAGGGAAGGTACTGAAATAGCAAAACAAAGTGCAATTTGCTCCTCAAAAGACTTTATTGTTCAACAGCACCCAACACAAAACACTGGCCTGAATCCTGTTGAGATTTTATTTGGGAGTAAGTGAGAGGCTGTATGTCACAGCAGCAAACTGCAACTAATTAAAAAGGTGCAGGTTGTGTTCTTGGTCACATGCCAATCACACAACCAGGTTCAAGACCAACAAGCTATTAGTTAGCTGCAATTTGTACACTATTGTAAATCTGCATTTTGCATTGTTTCATTTACTAGAGTCAACTGATACAGCTTTTGCTCACTCCGTTAGCAAGTGAAACAACAAGAACCATTTTTGTAGACATTGTTGGCTACAAAAGTATTTTCACTAGGGGACGTAAATGTCATGAAGTTCTACTCTTCTGCTGTTGCTGGTAAAGGAGAAAAAAAATATTTCCACCCAATATTAAATAAGTTGTCAGGATTTGTTTGTCTTTTCACACTCCTATGCTACATTTTGTGCAGAGAAGATATCAGATGTTCTGGTATCACAAGTACATAATAAAGTATATTTTTTCAATGTTTTAAAATAATTAATAGTGCTGCTTCTAGCATAAATATAATTAACTTTTAAAAGAGCAAGGTTTCATTGCTGTTGAACATGTTTGAGAGAAACATTAGCTTCAAGTACTAAACAGACAGCTTTGCTATTTTACTTTTTTGACAAGTGAGAAATAAAATATTATTTTTTTTAATTTTTTTTAAATTTATTCCATTTATACCCTGCCTATCTGTTCGTCGCGAACACTCTAGGTGGCTTACAACATAACATAACATAACATAAAATAGAAGTATGCAGACACAGCATTTATGTCATTCTTTAGGTCAGTCTGTTCTCTTTGCATTAGACAACAAAAAAGCCACCACAATTCATAATGAAATATCAAAACACCATGAATCACTCAGTAACTGCTGGAATGAATCATATGCATATTGACTATCTGCAATACTTTTTTGCATTTATGTATGTATGTAATTCAAAATATTCATAAGCCATCTTTTCTCCTAAAGGATCCAAGGCAGCTTACAGTATTAAAAGAAACAAAGACTAAAAATCAATAATAAATTATTATGACATTAACAAAGGATTACAAATATCAGAAATATAACATTAAAATCCTTAATAAGAACAATACTAAAAACACAAGTAAATCACAGTTACATGTTCCAGGCCAGCCTAGCTTTCTATGGTAAGGAGTTCCAGAGTATGGGAGCAGCAACAGAGAAGGCCCCTCTCCCATGTCCCCACCAAATGCACCTGTGAAGATAGAGGGACTGACAGAAAGGCCTCTTCTGATTATCTTAATACCTGGGTGGGCTCACAAAGGGATATATGTTCTTTTAGACAGCATGGACCCAAGCTGTTTAGGGATTAATAGGTAAAAAGCAGTTCTTTGAATTGTGCCTAGAAATGGATCAGCAGCCAATGAAGCTGCTGTAACAAGTGAGTTATATGTTCCCTGTAACCAATCCCAGTTAATAATCTGGCTGCTGTGTTTTGGACCTGCTGGAATTTCCAAATACTTTCCAAAGGAGCCCCACACATAGCATGTTATAGTAATCCAGACGGAATGTAACTGAGGAATGTATCGCCATGGTTGATTGGACCCCTGAAGGAAAAGGCGTAGCTGACCCACTAGTTTTAACTGTGCAAAAGCACTCCTAGGCCACCACCAAAAACTGGGCATCCAGGCTCAAAGATGAATCCAGGAGCACCACGAAGCTGCACACTTCTATTTTCAGAGGGAGTGTAACCATATCCAGCACAAGCTGAATTGCTATTCTTTGATCTGCCTTTTGTCCGAATTAAGTTTCAGTTTGTTCACCCTCATCCAGTCCATTACTGATGCCAGGTACTGATCTAGAACTGAAACAGCTTCCTTAGATTTAGATGGAAAGGAGAGTTAAGAGTTGGGAGTAATCCACTTAATGGTGATCCCAAAACTCCAGACTACCTTTCGCATCAGTTTCATGTAGATGTTAAATAATATGGGAGTCAAAACAGAACCCTGAGGGACACCACTGGCCAGTGGTCAGGGTCCCCCTGCACCACCCTCTGGGTTCTCCCCTCCAGAAAGGGTTGGAATTACTATAATACAGTGCCTCTCAGTCCCATCCCAGAGAGATGGCCCAGAAGGATATCATGGCCAATAGTATCGAAAGTCACTGAGAGGTCGAGCAGAACCAAGAGGGGCACACTCCCCTTATTCAAGCCCTGGCATAGGTCATCCACCAAGGCAACCAAAGCAGCCACCATCCTGAAGCCAGATTGAAATGGATCTTGAAAACCCATCTCAACTGGGAAACCCCTGGAGTTGAGAAGTTACAACCCATTCCAGCATCTTGCCCAAGAATTGAATATTAGAGACTGGCCAGTAATTATCCAGTACTGTGGGGTCCAAGGAGAGTATTTTCAATAATGGTCTTGCTATTGCCTCCTTTAAGTATTCTGGGATCCTACCGTGCTGCAAGGAGGCATCCACTATCCCACAGACCTCCTCAGCCAGTCCCTCTCTGGCAGCTTTCAAAAGCCAGGAAGGGCAAGGGTCCAGCAGACAAGGGATAGCCTTCACCTCTCCAAGGATCCTGTCCACATCATCAGGCTGCAAAAACTGAAGCTTATCCATTAACACAGGACAGGCAGGGGTCATCTACAGAGCCCGTATTTAACTACAGCATCCAAGTCAGAGAGCATCTGAGTCATATTGCCTGCAAAATGTGTTGTAAATTCATCATAATGCGCTCTACTTTGGTCTGCATTTTCTTCCTGGGAGCTGGCATGCACTAGGCCCTTGACCACTCAAAAGAACTCCACTGGACAACTCTGTGCAGATGCAATGGCAGCAGAGAAGAATGACTTCATCATCACCACTGCCATGGAATAGGCCTTCCAATGGGCCCTAGCCACTGTTTCATGGAATAGACCTTCCAATGGGCCCTAGCCACTGTTCAGTCAGATTCACTCCAAGTTTTCCACCATCATCACTCTAGTTTCTATCCCACGTATTTCATTACCACCAACGTCCCGGTAAACTAGGGTGCCAGTTTGACTCTGCTTTATAGGAAGAGGACACTAAGGAGTGATTGTGTCAACAGCCCTCCATTTCAGAGATCAACCAGGACTTCAACAGATTGGCCAATGAGGTGACAGGAAACTCCACAAGAGCCATCAGGAAACCTTTTGGATCCAACAGCCTCCTGGGATGGACCTTCTGTCCTCACCCCTGCAGAGGCTGATTTCCAGCAAATATAAACTCCATCATATGAAGATCTGTCCATGACAATGGAACTACAGAGAACTTCTCCACACCCAGATCACCAACATCAACCACAGTACAGAAAACCAGTTCTAAAGTGCGCCCTGCAGCATGAGTGGTGGCAGATACTATTTGGGACAGACGCATAGCTGTCACAGAGGACATGAACTCCAGTGTCAATCCTGACAAAGCTGCCTCAGCATGGATGTTGAGGTCCCACAGCACAACAAGCCCAGGAAACTCCGCCACCACTGTGAAAGCAGCTCAGTTAGCTCAGGCAGGGAGACTGTTGGTTAATGCAACTAACACCTGGTGGAGGAAAAAAAAACCACTATCTTTTAAGACCATATTTGGAATGTGATGCAGCACTTAACTGATTTTGTACACACAATTTGAATTTTACATCACAATACTACCTTCACATGGAAATTGAAAAGAAGGATGTGTAAAGAGGTGCACATGTACCACCAGAACACGGGGGCTTTGAACTTCTTGTTAATATACAATACACAATCCATCTTCAGCATGAGTCAGAAGAATTAGGGGGAAAGGTCATTTTGATTTTTAAATGCCATCTATCACCTGGATGAGACTGAGAAAAGTCCTATGCTTTTTTACTCAGAAATAAGTTCCACTGAGTTAATTGGTGCACGCACCTAGAGTATGAGAACAGGACTACAGTACTACCACACTAGTTACAATAGCCAGGTAATACTTCCAATGACAAACATTCAAGAGAGAAAAACAAAAACAATCCAAAAGCAATCAATATGACCTGAAGACTTAATAGTTCTCTACCAGAAAATTCTATTACCTAGTATTATAATCTATTGATTTCACTCTTTGCAGAGTTTTTTATGTACCAATACTGAAATAAGCAATTTATTTGAAAAAACTTGCAGTTGACTCCTGGCTCTTTAATAATTTATCTATTGCACCTCTGTTCACAAACAGGCAAATTTAGAACCTCAAAACATAGGAATACAATAACCATTGTATAATATTTCTTTGGGAAACAGGAAATATTTGCTGAACTATTTGTATTTTATGCCATAAAGTCTGCAGGCAATATATACAATTTGAGAATGCCAGAGAATTAAATATTGTTATTTTTAAATGACTACATTTTTAAAAATTACTTTCCTAGATACCTCTTTATAAACACTTAGATTTGAGTGTTTTTACAATACTTCAGAGGTACTGCTCTGATAGCTTGATATCCAAAAGTGGAAGAAAGTTTAAAGTGACCTAAAGTGATCAGGCAGAATAGACATTTATGTTGAGTCAAATAAACTACAACTTGACTCTTCAGGTGACAACAAAAATACAGGTACTGCTCTGATAGCTTGATATCCAAAAGTGGAAGAAAGTTTAAAGTGACCTAAAGTGATCAGGCAGAATAGACATTTATGTTGAGTCAAACTACAACTTGACTGTTCAGGTGACAACAAAATTAAAGATCTCCTAATTTGTGAACTTGCATTTAGAAGATGCATGAAAAAATACCTGCCTCTCCACCTTCATACAGAAAGATTTTAAAATGCCAGAATGTCAAGTTCTATTTCATCTAAGTCTGAGCTTATACAACTTAAAGAAAAATAACTTTATTATTTCTAATTGACAGCATCATTTAGTTTTGTTAGCATTAATGCCTATAAGAAACAAAATTTACCCATACAGCTCCTTGTTCATAACAGCAGCAGAAACAACTGGAAGTTAAACCAAAATTGTTATGGGTAGAAAAACAAATATATGATGTTTCATAGAAAAAGCAACTTGCAGATGTATCACTAAGCATAAGGCAGTTATCACAACTGCTACTTTCTTTTCTTTTTTGTGGTCATAAACTTTGTTTCACAGAGAGGTTTAAAAATCACCCCATCCAAAATGAAAGCCATAATGAAAGCCATACTGAAAGACACAGCATGTGTTTTAAAAAGTTTTCTTAGTTTCATAGGTTTTTCTTATTTCTCTTTTACTAAGGTCTCAAACATAAAATTAGCATTTGAAAGCTTTCAAAACATTATCTGTTGGGTTCTACAGGTGCAGTTTCCAATGACACACATTGAAACTGTACCATCAACATTTCTGTGCAACATCTTATCTTGGATCACCACAACGTTCTCCCAAAGAAGAGAAAATTACATTTCTACTTCAAAACATTAGAGAAGCAAATGTTTAATAAACTGACTTAAAGCATTTACAGTGGAACAGAATTTCACAGTTTATTTATTCAATTTTACTGCCTTTCCATATTCTGAACACTCTTTCTTTTTAGATTAGGCATAACCTTGCTTATCAGTGTCTGCATCTCCCACACTACTAACTGCTAATAAAAAAATCCTTCCCTATGGCTTCATGACTTCCTATATGAACAGGATCAAATGAGGGAAATGAACTGAGTGGGCAGTGTCAGATAGTCAGAAACAACATGCATTTTGCAAACTTTGTACATAGGATGCTGTTCCACGGTTAAGATTTAGAGTTTTTCTTCTAACAAAATTAAGCTCTTTCATAATTTTAATACTAGTCCACAGTACTAGTGCAGCTGACTCAGTGTCCAGAAACTAGGCCTCTGTATAAATTAATTTCTCCATGCGTATGTATTGCACTGATGGAAAATTTACCATGTCTTCCCTTACCCCTTCCATGAAACAGGTCACACATCTAAACATTTGATCAAAGAGGGGATGTGTCTACACCTGCTGCCAAGAAAGTGAAAATTATGCAGCTTCTTCCTATTTATTTACACAATGTGTAGCACCAATATTGAAAGCACAGTGTACAGGAGAACAATAAAATCCTAAGCATTTCAAAAAGATGTAAGTCAGAGGTGGGAAGTAACTGATGGGCAAGATTCAGTTGCAGGGTATTTTTAGTGACCATCCAAAGTTTTTCACCAGGCCATGTTCCATCCCTGGGAGGTGGCATAGTTTACTACTTGTTCCTAAGCTATCAACAGCACCAGCCACCATTGTACAGTTCCACTGGCCCAGCTAGGTGCTCCTGTGAGCCAACACTCCTTGTCATTGTTCAGAAAGAATGTAAACTCAGACTTAAACTGAAAAGATTCCTCACATCTGGTATAGCTGTACTTGGTAGGATTGTGCAATATGAGATAGATCAACTCTCTCCTGATGGGCATTTTGACAAACAGTGAAAACATTCTTTGTTGCCCATAAACAAAAACAAAAACAATTTTTGGAAGTTGTACTTCTTGTCTTCCTCCTCCTCCATCATTATTATTATTAGCTCACTGACATGAGGTGTCAGATACAAACCTTGTTTTTTTGCTTCCACAAATTTCTGTTTTGTGCTGTTAGTCCTACAGATCTTTTAACATTAACCTTCTATCTAGTTTGCAGTCGATACCTTCATCTGATTCAACAAAACATAGATGTATTTCTTTATCCCACTGCCATTCTACTTGCCTCACAGTGTGGAATTCCCATCTCCATTTTAATAATGCTATTTGTTCACTTATGTCTATTTTTTTCTCTATTAGCATGATTTATCATCTGTCTTTCTATTGCTTTTTGAGTTTTTGTGATCTTTTTCATCATGGAATTTGTCAATAGTCCAGGTCTGTGCAACATAAGTCAGCACTGGCAACACACATTGGCTACAGACTGATCTTCTAAACTGTAGAGGGTTTAAAACAGGATTTTACATTGTTTATCAACAATTGGCTGTGCAAATCTTATTCATCTCTCCAATTTTGCTTTCTGATCAGATTTTCCATGCTGTATTACCTGACCCAGTTCAATACATTCTTGTACATACAGTGGAACCTCTACTTCCAAACGTCCCAACCTATGAACATTCCAACTTACGAACAGCTTCAGCCACAAAATTTTGCTTCTACTTGTGGCTGGAGCTTCAAGATACAAACAAAAAAGGCAGGGGAAAGGGGTGGGAAATTCAAACCATTGGTGGCGAAGAGGCTGCTTCTTTATAGCTCTTTCACCCCAACAGTTAGGAAAAGGGAGGCTCAGCCTCCTGGGCTTCCAGCGCCGCCACCGCAGGCTTTCCAGAGTTCGCCACAAGCACGGCCTTTCTCCCCTGTTGTGCGGCTTCTCCGCCGCCATGGGAGGCTTTCCTGGGGCTTGCCCCAATTGCTGCCTTTCTCCGTCACCATCCACTGCCAGGCCGGAAACCCTGGCCCAGCAGTGGATGGTGGTGGAGAAAGGTGGAAAGCCTCCCATGCTGATCGAGAAGCTGCGCAGTGAGGGAGCAGGGGAGAAAGGCGGCACTTGCGGCGAACCCCGGGAAAACCTGTGGCGGCAGCGGAGAAGCCCTGGCCCGGCAGCAGTGGCTGGAGCCTGGGAGGCTTCCTGCCAGCACTGGTTGCTGCAGTGGAGGTAAGGTGCTGCTTTAAAAAAATCTTTTTTGGATGGCTTTGCAGGGTGGGATTGGGCTGGTGGGGTTATGTTTGTTTTTTATTTGTTTTGTTTTTTGCAGCCCCAGGGGCTTGCAGTGTTTTATTTTTATTTTTTGTATTTTTTTCTTCAGACGGAATGGATTAATCAGTTTTCAATGCATTCCTATGGGAAATGGCGCTTCCACTTACAAATGTTTCAACTTACGTCCATCGTTCCGGAACGGATTACGTTTGTAAGTAGAGGTACCACTGTATTCCATACGGTAGCCATCACCATGACATTCCTCTGTTCCTCTTCAGTGAACATTACTTTGGGTTTGTTTGTTTGTTGCTTAGTTTCGAATCATCTTTAGAATTTTTACTTACCATTTTGTAAGCCCATCCAAAGTTGCTTATGATCCTTTTTCTGCATCTCATTGATTACTTGACTCTTATGCTTTAAGGCATCTGCTTCTTTTATGCAAGCCATGAAATGAGCTTCTATCACATCCTTAGAGTGACAGTGCAGAATATCTTTTTCTGGAAAGTTCTAGAAATACCAAATTATTATAGTCAACACAAATATTACTTTGCCTCCCTTTTCTGCTGAGATTTTTTTAAAAACAAAAACTATTAAAAATAAGCTCTGTTTTACAGAATTTAATTTGTAACTATGCAACTGAAGCCTCTTTGCACTAAAAAATCTACAATATTCCAATTCTCACTATAGCTGAAACCTATGCAATGGAGTATAGCACCCCCTTGCAATAAGATTTGGTAGATGAAAACACAATTCACATTGTACCATTCTAGAACTAGGCCATAAATAAAAGCTAGGAGGAAAACTCACTTTTGCTTCTCCAGAAATATAACATTTGTACTTGGAACCTTTATCAGAACTGTCATCATAATCTTCAAGCTTACCTTGTATTCTGTAAGTAAGGCCTTTTCATAAGAATGTCAAGATTCTCCGAAAGCAAAGTTCTGCACTAGATTCTGCACTCTTGGAAAACTTTGGAATATACATACAGTAACATGTACACCAACAGTGCTTAAAATTGCTTTCTTTAGAAACAAATTGCTATGTGACTATCAGGTTGCTAGAAAGCCTTCCAAATTAAAACTAAACTTACTATTCCAATAAAGCTGAACTAAACTCAAAACATGAAAAATACTGGGGATGTAAATACTTTCTGAATTTTTCATTCTCATCTCTTTAGATTGTGTCAACTCCACCAGATAACACAGCACAGAATTTTCAAGCCGTATAAGATCTCTGATCTAACAGTGAGACAAAGAGTGTTATTTCTTCTCCTCAAGGTCTCCATAATTTGTACAAACAGTGTCTGCACAAAACCACTCCTTTCCCCTTGAGAAGCAATGCACACACAAATCCATACAGAGCAAGCGCAAAAACTATCTGGCTGCTGAAAAAAAAAGATGCCAGGAAGCCCTTTAAATATTTTTCCCCCACTTTTTAAAAAATTGTTATTTTTAACTATAACATAAACATAAAATACACAAACCAAAATACAATTTTGTATTTAATTCTTCCCTTTAATTTTGCCCTTTAATTCTTCTAATCTTTAAAAGTCCATGCAATTAGCAAAGATCATGATGATGCACAATTAACAAAATTAGTTATCTTGCTTGATATGCACAAAAATCATTCTTGTTCTCTTATTGCGAACACTACAAATCACCTCACTCTCTTGTGAGGCAAAGAATAACCCAGTTCCTCAGAGTTGTATGTGAGGATTTATATCCCTGAAGAAAACCATATGTATGCATGTCCTGACAGACTGTATTTAAAAAACATTAATATATTGGCCGTAAGGTGATGTATAACAATTCTAAAGTTTCTAGGATTAAAATAGAAAAGCCAAAATAAAAAACAAGCCCCAAACCCTCAAAAATGATAAACAGGAGGATTCTTGATGGCTATCTACTAGGGATTCCCCTTTCTCCATTTATTTAGGAAATTATAATTATGGAACGTGCTCATGTAAATCTTTTGAACTATAAACCAAAGAGATAATAAATTATAAATTATAATTATACCTTGAAATGTACTGTAATATTCCACGGAAGGGCTGTATTCGATGCATGAAGGTCAAAAAGCAAACCAATTGGATAATGCCTAGAAACAGAAGAGAATATTAAAGGCAAGAAACTGCACAAATAATGCAAAGGTAAATTACCCAATTCAGAGTTATACTACTGCATTCCACACCATACCTATATCTTTAAAGACAACAGCTAAGTAACAATCCCTTTTATATTTACTAAAAAAAAAGAGGAGTTGCTGCAGGATAACCAACTGTGTGGAAATTTGTATTGAATTGTATTATTTAAAAGAAACACTCCTTTTAAAAACTTGACACTGAATCAAAGTAGACAAAATGTGGCTCTTTAGATTGGTTGGATTGCAAACCCTATTAGCTTTAACCAACATAAGCAATGGTGAGGACTAATAGGAGTTGCAATCCAAAATAATCTGGCAGTCTGCAGTATATTAAAAATATGCACCGTGATCCAGCTTTAAAAATCCAGAAAAAGCAATATAAAGCACCATATCAGTAGATTTCCGATACAGTTTTAAACTAAGGTTCAGAGGGACATGCATGAAACTTGGACTTACGTGTCCAACCTTCCTTCCTTCCAATGCAAAAAAAAAGAAGAAGAAGAAAATGGACATGTTCACTTTCACCTTTAACTGTAGTTTGCTGATATGTCAGAACATGGAACTATAGTTAGTTTTAACTATGCTTTAGGAAATCAGGTAGAATCAGAAACCATGATTTGAAGCCTGCTTGTCTACCTCTCCCAAGTTGGATTTCACCAGAAGCTTTTGGTTACAACTCCTATTACCTTTGATAACTGGATGTGATGACAGGGGATAATATAGGTCAGCAGTTCTTAAATTTTTCTTTACCACGGACCCCCCTTTACATATTTTTATCGCTGTGGACCACCAATACTTAAGATTTAAGCATATCAAATATTGATTTAACCTTTCTCATGAAGGGTCTTAAGTTAATCTGTTAATGTGCACACTCCTATTATAATATTTTTATTGGAATAATTTCATACAAATTTAAAATAATAATAATAATAATAGTCATTGGGGCTTTGGGAACAATAACAAGAAATTTCACACAGTATTATAAATAGTTACAGAGTCTGGAAATAGCATCAACAGAGCTACAAAAATGGCAATATTAGGAACAGCATATATACTACATCAATATTTAAGAGATACTTAGATTTCTGGTTAAAACTTGTATCTGTTATGTAATATCAGTCAACTTTTTATAATTTTGATTGTCTCCGCCTGGTATATAACAACAACAACTTCTATATAAAACATCACATTAAAATGAAAGCTACAAAATGACATGAATATAAGTTGTACAAAATTGTACCTCATTTTTAAAACAAGTTGAGCGGGGGGAAAGGAAACTTTATTTTAATATACAGTGGAGCCTCGCTTAGCAATCGCTCCGTTGACAGATGAAATCGCTTAGCGACTGAGTTTTTGCGATCGCAAAAGCGATCGCTTTGCAATGGTCCCTATGGGTTTTTTTCGCTTTGCGATGATCGCCGGGAAGCGATCATCGCAAAGCGCCCATTTTCACACAGCTGATCGGCGGTTTCAAAATGGCCGCCAGGAAAACAAAATGGCCGCCCGCTGTGTTTCCTCAAGAGGCACTGAAAATGGCCGCCCCTAATGGAGGATTTTCGCTTAAGGTGAGTTTTTAAGCCCATAGGAATGCATTAATCACTTTTTAATGCGTTTCTATGGGCTTTTTAAAATCGCTTAGTGATGAAATCGCTTAGCAATGTTTTTTCCTGCACGGATTAAGATCACTAAGCGAGGCACCACTGTAACTATAATTAACGAGCAGGTTGGTATTGCACTTCACGTACAAGCTCTGTTATATCAGGTTTAATAGCTGAAATTTGTATTCTCAGTTCTGACTATTCATTTTTCAAATGGTTTCTATACTTATTTTTAAGATAAATGAGCACAGAATGATTTTTATATAGCCACCCAGCATCATTCACTGGCATGTTCAAACAGTTATTTGCTATCAAACAGTTATGCTCATAACTGATTTTTACTTCTGTTTTTAATGGAGGCGGTAGGTTAAAAAAAGCAAAGTTTTACATAACCAAGTGAAATTAAGGCTTTATTCTACATTTCCTTTCCTTTTATTTCTTTCATTTTTCTATTTTAACTGCAAAAGATCATAACATTTCTTCAAACCTTTGCAGAACCCTGTGAGGACATGGTGGCCTCCTGGGAGTCCACGGACCACAGGTTAAGAATCTAGGATACAGGTCATATGTGGAGGGACTCCACTTGGGCAATGCTGTTCTAGGCATTGGACTACATATTCTAACGCTCTATCAGTGGAGTGAAAAACCTTGCCAGCAAAATTACAGTGTAACACAGTGCTGTAAAAGTACAAGAACGAGGCTGTTTCTCTCCCAATGTGGTACAGACACACTGGCCAAGGTGTGCTCTTTTCAATCTCCTCTATAATGTCTGTGCAATTAAGAACCGATCAATTTCATACAATCTTCCTCCTTTGTCTGCCTCAAAAATAAATACAAAGGATAGAGCTCACTCACAAAGCAGCCTCACCAAAAATGGTTAGTCCATGGTAGAGACCAGGCAAGTATCTGGCAAAGGTCTGGGAGGGGGAAAGGGGGGGGAGAAAAGGGGGCACACTCAGAACAGATTTCACTGAGAGAAAGGGATGTATAAGCAGCACTCCCGGATATTTGTACCCTCCCCTTCATTTTGATGCTGGGAAAAGGAGAGATGATACAATCCTACTTGAGTAAATCTCCCTCCCGTACCATTCTTTAGTAGGTTAGAATATGCCCTGGACTGCAATCTCCATTGTGAAAACAATTTGCACAACAAGGCATAAGCTTCAAAAGAGGAGAGCTACTGCCAAAAATTGAACATGCATGACTGCAATGGCACAACTGGACTAAGCTCAATACAGCTGGTACTAACCAACATTTTCCTGTATTTAAATGCAATGAAATTTTTTAGCTAAAAAGTGAAACAAAAATTTCTAGTTTCTTCCCTGTGGCCAGCCATGTAGGAGAAGAAGAGAGGGAGAGAACATGAGCCTGAAGTTTGTGTCTGCAACACTGAAATGTAGTTTAGCACTACATCTGAATATAGCCATTATTTGGACAATCATAAGCACTGAGGGGTTCCTATCCCCAGAGGCTTTGAACATTTTTCCAAAACCAGGTTGCAATTCTAAAGAGACACATTTTCAAATTACTCCTCATTACTTTGATGAGATCATTCAATATAATTTTAATACATATAATTTTTAAATGAGTATGAGATGTAAACATAATAGAACATGTTTCTGTGAAGGAGCCAAAAAAGGACTCTACTTAGAGAACCCTCCTTTTTAGTGACAAAGTCAAGATCTTGTAGATTGGAAACAAGCAGACTTAGTAAAGCTTAAACATGAGACATATGGCTTGCAGTACAAAACTGTTCAACTGTTCAGAGTTTATGTCCTTGAAAGTGTGTGTGTGGAGGAACAGAAGCACACGCACATTTACCGTACTTTTCGCACCATAAGATGCACTTTTCCCTCACAAAACAGGGGGATGGAAAGTCTGTGCGTCTTATGGAGCAAAAACAGATTATATTTTCCTGTTTTCTTCTCCTAAAAATTGGTGCGTCTTATGGAGCGAAAAATACGGTAATTATCCTTATCAGACATCTTTTAAATCCTTTTCTTATCCCCATCCTAATTTCATTTTATGGAGTATATGGTGTTAACAAGTCTGAAGATGTGGCATCCTAATATGATTATTTAGTGCTTCACAGGTACATCATTATACCCACATATATATATGTGTGTGCACTTTCCAAGAAAACAGTTCATTAGCAAATGAAGTTTTAACCTAACAGAGCTAGATTTCAAAATAACTTTCATAGAGTTTTCAACAATATATCAGGGAGAATGGATGAAGATAGTAGAACCAAGAGTGATTATCAATCATGCAACATGGCAGCCATTTAGCAATTCCATTTAGCTTATGATAGCTTCCCAGAAACAAAGGCCTGTCCTCACCACAGTGGAAAACGGTGTGCGTCTAAGCATCAGCTCTGACTACAACTCTAGGCCACCCTACAAGTTTTCCAGATGGAACTTCCCCCTCCCCAAGATCTGCCATATTTACAATAAATGAGTTATTTTTAATCCACTGCTAAGCAAACCTATTTATCCCTCCTGTTGGGGAAAACAGCCCATTGAAATGTGAACTTTAGACTTTCTTCAGAGTGCCAATACGAAAGTTGTCTGCAATATAGCAAAATTCATATCTATGGTGATGGGCATATCACTATGTTGATCAAATAGGGGTTTCCTAAAGGGTTAACTCACTCAATTAAAATATGTACATGTTGTTTTATATTTTACTATTGAAATGTATTTATCTCTTTTTAGCTGTTCACTTTGGATCTGTGTGATTTGTATGCTTTTTGATATGGTCGAAATGATTAATCAAATAAATAAATACTGAATACTAATCATGAGACTGGTTAATATACTTTTTTTCTTGAGAAAACCTCAGGGGTCTTGGCTCAGAAATGTCAAGTCCTTTTATAACTGCTGTACTTAAGTGACAGGTATTCACATTTTCAAAATTAAACCACCACTAGACTAAGAAAAGTGCTGTAATGCTGTATCAGCTTTTGCAGAAGGGGGAAACTAAGAGTATGAATAATTAAGCAATGCTAGAAATAAACCATGTTTCTTTTCCAATACAATTTGGTCAGAGATCATTCTTCAATTTTATCATTCTGATTTTCAGTCATGCACAACTGAAACTAATTTGGTTGTTTCAATCTTATTGGACTTCTAGCAGCCACTTTAAAGGAAAGAGACCACCAGTAAACTGGTTAACAACCACTGCCTAGAGATCTTCTCATCTGTACCTCATAAGTATCCTGCCTTTGGTTTCCTTCAAAATCCCACTAAGCCTCCTAACAAATTACTCAGAATATAAATATCTAAGTTGGATTTACAGAAGTCAAGTATGTATGACCTTCCCCCCTCACTGCATTTTTATACTAAACAGAAATATTGA